TTATAAAGGGGTTACTAGCCTGCTCCCAGGGGGCTCCTATCCCTCGTTGTTTTGCAGATTTCTGCTGCAACCTTTGCTCGCCGGGACATCGGAATTCAAATTAATTGCTTTGGTGTTGGACGGGGAGTCACATGTCTAGTCAGACGATTCAAAGTACGTGGGAAACAAGAATAGGGACCTAAGGGGATATAGTTGCTTACTAATTACAAGTTCTACAATAAGGGTGAAGGCCACAAGGGTCTTGTCGTGCAAACAGCACAACACTAATAAAAAGGGGGTAGGGGTACTGACCCTGCTACATGCAATAATAATCTTGTTTCTCTTCTGTTACATGTTAGTGTCATACAGTATTTTTTACAAATATGTTGTTACCAGCGCAAAAATGCAGAGATTAACAACAAATGGATAAAAGGTTAATAGAAACAATAGAAAAGAAATACCTCCGACAAATCAGCATAAGAAACGACAATATCAGGAAAAAAGTTGAGATGGACTAGGGCTAAACTACACAGAGACAACAGGTCAAATAGTTTGGATGTGTGTTAAGACTACAACCAGATAATGTGCCACAGAAAGCCCTGCCACTAAAACACAACAGAAGTAGAACTAGAGGTTGCCCATACAAAACATGGATAGATGGAATATCTGAGGTGAGGCTGTGAATACTAGCATCTTTTAGCACACATTAAGGCTTCAGATGCTTCTTCAAAACCAGACGCTGAAAATCAGTCTAGTGAAATAAAGAAACATCTAGACAGATATTTAACAGGAAAACAAGTGACTCTTCGGTATAAGCTAACATCCAACAACAAAATTTTTTCATTTTGCTGAAATCTTCTCAGCCTTTTTTTTTTTTTAAATGAAACAATTATTTCATTCTTGTTCCCTCTGGGACTGCAACAAGAAGATTTGTCAGTAGTGACTCAAAAGGCACATTTTTTAATGTGAACCTTTCCGTGTGGGTTCCGGGGGGAGGGGATTTGCCTTGCAGCAGTTATTTCTTCTGGATATTTAGACTGGTTTTTATGCTAAGCAACTAGCAAAACTTAAAGTGCCAGAAAAAAAAATTAAATTATGAATAGCATACATAACTGAACACCAATTTTAGTTGTGAATCCTCAGGAAGACTAAGTCTCTTAAGATGGGTGCTTCAGGTTGTTTGAGCCCAGAGAAGAGTTTTGCTTCTAAAGATATGAGTAAGGTCAGTGTTGAGACTTTTTTTCCTAACCTGGTATTAAAGCATCATCTTCATCGAGCTGCTCTTTTCGTCTTAGTTAAGAAAATAGTGGGATGTGCTACCGTGGGACCGATACTGAAGTTCGCATGTTCGGAAAGGTATATTTGGTTAGTTGGCTTTTGTAACCAGTATTGTGTTGGGGGAGGCAGCCAATCCCAAGCCTACCCTTAGTCACCTCTTACAATATGCCTGGCGCTTTACTGGACCATCCTGAGAAGAAACAGACAATTACCAAACAGGCACTAAAATGGGAAATAAGGGAGCGAGGTAGTGAAGATGCTCAAAAGAAACCTTAAAATGAACGTTGATGAGAGAGGCCAAAGTTGCAGGCACAACAGGACAATGATGATTATTATCTGGCACTAAAATATGAACAGGCTGGGATTAGATCACAGTTGTGAGTGTGGTGCAAAACCAGCCAATTTGTCCGCCTGTTTGTTTTTCCCCTCACCTACACCTTGGAAGAAAATATTCAGAGGATGCCATCTACACGGGACCTGAAGCAATGCATGCTACTCTGCAAGGAGAAAGTCTCTCTCCATCTTTCTCAACATGCTCTGTGAGCTGGTTACAACAACACAGAAAGCAATATGCCAGATTCTCCAGTATACAAGATTTGTATTTTTTCTTTAATTGTCAATTTATACAAAACATCACTTGCAAACAAAATAACAACTTCCAAAACAGCAATACAAAAAGCCACACAAAAAATCTACTTCTTCAAAGAAGTATACATCATCCTGCAGCAATACACTGCTGTGATCACGGCCTAATGGAAAGACTGTCTCTTGCCAATTTCCCACTTTCATGTGTCTAATGTCCTAGATATCTAATATCCCAGCTATATCCCATGTGAGTGCTGGTTAACCCCCTCTTCCCTCCTGCACCTCAGCTTGATGTTTCCGCAGCTACTCTGGCAACCAGGGACGCCACAACAAAATCTTTTTTAAAGGGGGTGGTGGAAATTCCGAAAAAAAAAAAGGAGGGGAGGGGGGTGAGACTACATCTGGCTAAAGTGCGCAATATTAATAATAAAATGTGCTAAATGGCCAATAAAGAATAAAGATATCTGATATAATGTGAAATGTTTAGACAAAATACTTAAAAAGAAAACATCTATAAATGGTTGGGGGAGGGGAGCCACCCTGCAAATTTTCATTTTTAAAAAAAGGGGGCGGGAGGAGGGGCTGCGCAAACCTTAAAATTCATGGGGGGGGGGGGGGGGGGTGTCTAAGCTCCCAGTGCCCTAGTAGACAGCTATATTTTCAAAAACAGAGTCTAAGACGAATCTTTGGACCCATTAAAGATGGAAACTGGGGAATGGAGAGAAGCAACAACAAAATTCAGAATGTTTTCACCACCAATGATCACTAGCATCATGAGATCTAATAGAAGGAAATGGCTGGGGCATATTAAGAGAATGTCAGATAACAGAGAAGTAAAAATTGTATACACAAGGGATCTGAATGGTTGCAGACCAAGAAGACGATGGAGTGATAATGTCCAGACAGACCCGCAAACATTTGGTGCCACCAACTGGAGAGAGAATTGGAGGTGGGTGATTTCTGCAGAAATGAACGTCGCGGGCTCAGAATACTGAAGAAGTACTCATCAGCTAATGTATTATCATACTATTTTTTTGGGTTACTACCCTTGTGCCATGTTGTTGATCCATGGTCTAAATCAAACCAAACATCATATGGTTCTCAGTTTCAAGTGACGTGATTCCTTGTAACACTTCCAACTGCTGTATAAACCCACTCTACCTTAATTCTTGCTTTAACTATTTTGCACCAAAATATTACTTTGAATAAAATTGTTACTCATTGTAACTTCTTACAATTCTTGAGTTGAAAGTAGCATTTGCTTGGTTTTGAAAGAGTTAATTAAATACAAAGGCTATTCCAAAATCAACCTCCAAATAGCAGGTGAAAATAAACCGTTTGCCACAGCAATACTGTTCATTGCTTGCATCATTCAGTAGTATTTTAGCTCCCATCAACATAGTCGCATTTTTTCAGTGGCTCACGAATTGCGAATAAATAAAAATGGTCACTTTACTGCCTTTTCTGCACTAGTAAAAGTTAAAATGTAATACACCATCATTATGATCTGAACCAAAACAAGGGATTGTGGAATTCATCTTTTGCTCTCATCTGATCCATCTGGATTACATGTGCTGGCACAATGCTGACCCCACATCACCCAAGAGTGGCAACCGGTCTATAAAAATATGAGCCTAGCAAACAAACTCAATGCCACTGACATAGAAAGGGTCCTTTGCATATGCAAATGTCTGATGTATTAAAGAAGTACTTATAAGTCAGTGCCTAACAACACAGAATTATGAAGTACTTAACCAATGTCTAATCACATCTGTTTACTATGCAGTACACATAAGTTGATGTCTATATGTTTTAGCAGCACTTCTAAGTAAACGGGAGGTACTAGAATAACGGTTTTCAATTCGCAGGTGGGGTGGGGGTCAGGTTGAATCACATTTATTAAAACTGATGTATGAATCTATCTATTACTAACGTAAACATTTAAACCTAGCAAAACCCTAAAGTCACGCCAACATGTGGTTCCCCCGCCCCCCTTTTTTTTTAAACACACACAGACACTCAAAATTTAGCAAACAACCTGAATTCTGCCCTGTATTCTGGAGCAAACAAATTGGCGAGCCTGACCTCAAATCCAGAAGTTCCACTGTATAATAAGCCAAGTGCTAACAACACAAGATTAACTACATATCTATAAGTAAATGTCAAATCACATCTTTTTATGCAAATACTTATAAGCCAACCACTGACATTTTAATGCAGCACTTATAAGCTGAATTGTAATTTAATAAAATGTACAGTAAAGATACAATTATTTCCAGACACATGTAGTTAAGAGTGTTAGAAAATTTACACTATACAAACACTTAGAAAAACACAGAAAGGCAAATATGTAAAAACAGAAACAAAAAAACAAAAGCAATCATCTCACGGGTCAATAAGCCTTTTATGTTGTAAAAACAAATATTCGACTGAAAGACAAAGAAATGTGGGCAGTTAGGATACCTATCTGATTAAGCTCAGTACCAAACTTAAATTTTTTTTTAGACATAAAGACTCCCATTTGAGTTCCGGGACACCATTTTGAGGGGTAAAAATAATAGATCCCTATACCTTAAACAAGTAAGTGAAAGAACTAAATAAGGGTGTTTTCTTCAAAGTCAGCGTGCATCTTTATGAGAAGCCGGGAATCAACAGCCTGCACATAAACACACCAGATCTATACTATGGATGTGCTAGCAAAACTTAAGACCACAAACAAGATCGATGTCCAGAAGTTGAAGATAAACTAGAAATTTCCGCTGGAAAGTGAATGCTAAGACGAAAATCTGAATATATGCCAGTTTTTCCTGAGTTAGAATCTATATGAATCAAGGTATCAGGAAATTGTGGTCTTAGAGAGTTTTACCAGTCAATTTTGGAAAACAAATACCTGAAGGGTACATTATATTTTGTTAGCCATGTTGAGCAACCTTCATTTCTCAACAATGTAGTTCCACATTGCTTGACATCAGCAGTAATGCACTTCTAAGTATGGCTTTAGTCGTTACTAGCTGTCTTCTTCAGAAGGCCTATTGACCAATGCTCTTACACATTCCTTCTTTGTAAATTATCCGCAGTTCACACTGATAATTTGTGTGCTACACTTAATGTAATACTTAAAGATCTGCCAACAATACTTACATATGTCCCATCAATAATTAAAGATCCTCCATCTCTCCAATTTCAACATCAGCACTTGATCTGTCAGGAGAAATTAACCCATGGTCTCGTATTTTATTTGACAGAAGCTTTCCACCACTTCCGCTATCTGTCATTTCATTGTCCTTCAAGCTACTGTCAGACACATCTCCACTCCCATTACAAGAAGGCATGGAGTTGTCGCCTAGTAATTTCTCTCTGTCTATAATTCCCTTAGCCAGCTCTCTTTGTTTCTTTAAGATCGCTGCTCTAGCCTTGGCAATTGCTACAGAAATATCATCCTCCTCCTCTTCATCCACATCATCATCTTCTGGCCCATCAGAAGAGTCATCCTTAGGTTCTGGGGTAGCTGGCCGTTCAGGCAGGTCTGTGTTTTCACACTCACTGCCACTGTCTAAAGCATTCAATGCTTCCAGATCTTCAGCTGGGGCCGGGGTGTCTGGTCTGTCAATGTCCATGTGTCGCATCGTGTGTCGCTTCCGCCTTTTTCCTGCTTTTTTGCTGAAATATGGACAAAAGAAAACAGTCAATGACCATATATTTAAGAAATATGTGGATACCGTGGACAGACATAGTGATTAAAGACGACAACTAGAAATGGCCAATGAAATTAGAAAACTATTCACACAACAATAAGAAAGAGGCAGTCAGTGTTCCTTGGTCATGTGATGAGAACAGAGGCACTGGAAAACACAGCAATGACTGGAAAGATTAACAGTAGAAGAAGCAGAATAACAGAGACAATGCTTGATGGCCTGAAGCAAGGGCATGGTGGAATATCAACAGCGGAACTGTTTAAAAATACAAAGAACTGAGATCTGTGGAGAAACGTAAGTGCTGCACCCACTGTCAGGGCATAAGATGATGATGATATGATGTTACAAAAAGTAATTGATTATTCAGAATCCCCCCCCCCCTTTTTTTTTCTACAGCACAAGACGATCCCAATCAGCATAAAGAAACAACTCATACAAAGCATTAACTCTCCTGCCTAGAAAAATTTGAGAAACAAATGGTACTGACTGTAATAGACCAGCACTATTATTAGACAGGGTTAAACTCAGACCTGCAGTGGTTGGGGGAAAAAATCATGCTTTATTGGGCACACGTGGGAGAAGTGAACCCAGACCACATAATTTTGGACAAATGCACTTATGCCACCACACCATCATCATGTGTGCTGACACACACATGCCATGACAAAACGCTGTCAAGAATCTTCTTGTGCTATCATCCTGTTTCTTTTTCCATAGATCTTACCAGTGGTCACAATATGTTCCAGTTTTAATCTTCTCATAACAGGACTGTCTCTTTCTTATGTTTGTGATATGTTGTCTTTAAGCCCTTGCCTCTGAAAACATCCGGATTGCTCTTTTTGGCTGTTCTACACCCATAATCATATATATGTTATCGAATCACAAGCCAGCTAATAAAGCTGAAGAGTTATACCTGTATCTTCTTCTTCCATCACCCTTAAAATGGCAGTTAGCAAGCTGTGCTTTGGTTTACAGCTAGGCTGTGTTATCTGCATCTTTTGACTCAACATGCCTAATTTTTAACAACTCCTTAATCAGTCGTCTATTACAACACGTTGGTTAACTCTTTCTGTCCCAAACAACACACTAGGCATGACCAGATATTCTTCATGTGTACCAATCAACAGTCTGCGTCTGTGGCTTCTTCTTCTTCTGCCTTTCTATCCCCCAATGGAGCATAAGCCCTCAACCAACTCACGCCAAGTCGTTCTATCCTTCGCCATTACATGGAGCTCTCACCATGTCCTCCCAATCTTTCTAACCTCATTCTCCAGCTCTCTTCTCCATGTGTTTTTTGGCCTTCCTTTATTCCTATGCCCCTGTGGGTTCCAATGCAAAGACATTCTAGTTATGCTGTTCTCCTGTTTTCTCAGTGTGTGCCCTATCCAACGCCAGCGTCTTTTCCTCACCTCCTGATCCACTGGAGCCTGTTTAGTTCTCTCCCAAAGTTCTACATTAGTTATTCTATCATACCATTTTATTCCCTCTATTCTGTGGCTTAGGCATTGCGAACGCGCTTCGTAATGCCGGGGTGTCGGGTTTGATCCCAGCTGCAGGCCCTGCGCTGGTTTCAATAGTGGTATCGAGAAACCAACCGTCCAGAAAACAATGGCAAACTACTGGATGTAAATTTGCCTAGAAAAACCACTAAAAAAAAATTGAAATCACAGTGAGTAAACAAAAACACTGAAATTTGTTTCCTGCTTAAAAATGCTACTAATAATATGTTTATAACTGGTTTAGTTTCAATCTACAGTAGGATAAAAATAAAAATAAATGTGTTAAGCTTACTGACAATGAATACAAGTCTGTAATTACAACAGCTTTGATATATAGGCCTGTTAAAAGTTAATATATTTCTTTCATCCAGCAAAGTAGATCTTTTCTTAAGTCCATGCTGTGTAGAGCTGGTAGTCATGTCTATCCACAACCTTCTGTCTCATGTAATTTCTATCAATTCTGATATAGATTATCTTCCATGCTATGATGTCAAACCGTCCAGTATCTTCTCTAGATTGTGGCCGATCTAATGATCTGTAATTTTTGTGTAAAACAATAACACTTTATCAGAATTTCTGAACAAATAACTTACATTTTCCGCTGCTCTTTCAGTTTTTCCTTCCATGCCTGTTGGTCATCCCTAAATATTGACTCGATAACATCTGCAGAAACTGAGGCATCATTCTTCAACAGCTGAATGTACACACCTCCTGGGGTACGGCGCCGATACCCATCCTAAAACAATAAATACATGCATGGATAAAGTGTGTGTAAACCAAATCTGACATCACATTTTGTTTTTTCCTGTAATATATTAAAAATAATGTTGAGTGTTGAGCTAAGAACTGACATCATATCACTCGGAACATTCCCATAAGCGCTTCAACCATATCTTCAGCAGCCAGCAAAGAGTTCCAGTTTCGATAGTGCCAGCGGCAGATTAATTACATGTCCATCTTTCCTTTCTTCTGAGCGCAGAGTGTCGATCAAATTCCCCGGTCACACCTAGCCATACTCAGATCATATGTGAACCTGATTCATTAAAACTGTCCTACAAATTACTAAAAATATGGAAAAATCTCAGCGCCAGCAAATGACAGATAAAACATTGCAGGTGACTGTTTGTCAAACAATGTCACTGAATTCTGTAAATGTTAGCTAAACAATATCAATTCTTCTTTTTATCATGCACCAGCTGTATACTCTGTCAGAAAGTTCTGGTTGTTTTTCTCCTCCTGGATTTTGGTTTTGATTCAGAACTTTAGTTTTGCTTGCACAAGATCTGGTTTATATGTATGCAGACTGTTATGTTCTTGCCTCTCAGGCAGATGCACACTGACTTTCAAAGAAACACCTCTAACAAGTCTCCTCCTACGACATGCTTGTTGGGGGAGGGGGTGCCGTTGGGTCTTCTTTGTTCTCCAAAATGGAGGCACGGAACATACATAAGGAACAATATCAATTAATGTTAGGTAAAGTGGTATCTGTGACTGTTAGCTAAACTATCTCTACGAATGTTAGCTTTACAATTTCAGTTAATGTTACGGCAACACTTTTTGTGCTGTCAGCAAGACAGTCTCTGTAAATATTGGCTAAATAATATCACTTGATGTTCAGTAAAATGGTCTCTATGACTTAGCTAAACCATCTGTGTAAATGTTAGCTAAATAATAACAGATAATGTTATGTAAGCACTTTCTGCACTGTTAGCAAGATAGTCTCTGTGAAAGTTAACTAGCTAAAGGGTCAGTGAATATTATCTAAACAGTCTCAGTAAACTGTCTCAGTGATGACAGTAATAAAGTTATAAAATAAAACTAAGAAAGCTCTTACATTTGTCATCATTCCACCACACTGTTCAACATCCTCTGTCATGTAGAAGAGTTTAATTGCCAGGTCTTTCCCAACTGTGTCCACAATTCGAGCTAAAAAAATGAGCATAACAATCATCTGATAAGTCCAATATCAAACCAAGCCTAATGTTTGTTAAAATCTGTTTGGTCTACTTATTATTATATACCGTTTTAAAGATTAGTATTACCTAACTACTGTACTAAAAAAAAATAAGCCATCTGCAAAATCTGATACTTCACCGATCTATTTGAGTCACCAATTTATTACCTGTTCTCCTTTAATATAGCTAATGCTTATCTTACAAACTTAACTTCTACTGCCCAAGTATCATAATCACTTCTACTGCCCAAGTATCATAATCACTTCTACTGCCCAAGTATCATAATCACTTCTACTGCCCAAGTATCATAATAACTACAGTGCCTCACAGAAAAGTTTTATTTGGTTCTCATTCCTTTCATGCCCTAGGGTTATTTGTAAAAGATACATCCTTTTATTTTCTGAGTGAATATTGCACAGATACTAGGGTATCCTTATTTCTGACTGCTGTTTGCCAAATAATCCTTTTCCAAACTTATCAAATCTAGCTTCACCTTACCACATGTGAAGTTTCTAAGTATGCGTGCCTAAATTTTAAATAAACTAAGCTGATATTTTTTCTAAACTGTATTTTCCACTTTTAGGGTCATACAGGGCAAGGCAGTGGTCAGCTTAATGATTTAAGACTGCAAGGACAGTGTGGTCACCACAAACTGTGCAGGCTGAAACTTTTATTTCTCCCTTCGATGGGGAACCCCCTTCCTCCATCTCTTACCAAAGGATCAAACCTGGGCCTTCAGCATGAGAGCCCAGCACTCTAACTATGTGGTAGTTTAAACTTGTAGTTTAAACAAATTTAAAACAAGAGGAAACATTATGAACCCACACCTAATCCTTGCCAGAAAGTGTTTTCCTGACAAGGTTACATCCTCTTCTACAGATGTAAATTTATTTGCATTTCCAGTTTTGCATCCCCCACTTGTTATCTTAGCCTGTAGAACAGGACAGATCTGCAACAGTTTAAGATGGCACTTCAGAATTCACACAGGTTCATTAGCCATTTATTTTACATTTGTCAGGCAAAATGGTTAACGTCCATGCCATGTTGCGTTGGTCATCATATCTGTCCATGTGTACTGTCATGTATTGTTGATTCAAATGTCCTTCCATACAATGATGCCACAATAAAATCTTTTGTTTTTGGGTTTTCCCTCACTTCTCTTATCTATCAACTTTAAATACATCATCATCTAGCGAATCAGGGGCTGAATGGTCTCGAAGCATAGCAGCTGCCTAGAGTGCTGGAGGTCCCCGGTCAAAGCCCCGGTGAAGGCTGGGATTTTTCACAAAGACTTCTAGTAATTTCCCATGGTCTCTGGGTAGTAAGATAGGACTCCTGTGTGTATTCTTGCGCATGTAAAAAATCCTTAGGCAGTCGAAAATCAAAAAGAGTAGCCTAAAGGCGCAGCCGGGCAGAAATTTGGAATTAAAAATCTACCCAAAGTATTTCAGGATTCTCACCGGTGCAACAGAGTTCGTGCACTGCGCTGAAACTCTTCAGACTCAGGCCCTTGTTATCAGTAGAACAGAGCACTTATGGGTTACACCCATGCGCCATGATGTTGATCCGTTGAATAAATATGTAGCTAGTCGTTTGCAGAAGATTATTCTCACCACAGCATACTTATAAAAAGCCAGCTGTGTCTTGCTAATTTTAATTCCTTATGAATTTTTTTTTTCACGGTGTCCTTGATATCTTGTGTCCAACATCATGCTAGGAACCACACTCGCCATTACTGTTCTCTTTAAATCATTATGGTGTTTAATATAGTCAAAGTATTTCAGTTCACAAGAAATAATACTGTCTATGAGTCTTCCTTAATATTCATATCAGGCTTTAAATTACATTATAAAATTACATCATTGTTAACTGCAGATGTCACACACACACACATTTAAAAAAAAAAGCATTTATTTATGGTTAAACTGTACCCTTTAGGTGCAGACAACAGTACTCTTTTTTTTTAAAGCTCATATTATGACAACTGCCACTTCTGAGATAATCAGCTTTATAGAAACAAATGATATACAGTAAGAAAATAAAGTTACATAATTCATATGAACATGTATCCCAGAAGATAAGAAGTGTATGATAAAAAAAAAAAAAAAAAAGCCAACTCTTTTAGTTCCAGATGTACTGAATTCAACAGTGTCTATGCTAAAGCTGTATCAATTTTTTAGTCTCATTAAACGGACAAAAACAGCTTTGGTAGAGAAATTGTATAAGCAACAACAGAAAAATTAGGGGTTAACAACTATCAGTATAAATCAGAAAGTGAACACAAGAAGAAGAGGTTAACATAACAAAAGAATGGCATAGAAAAAAGTAAAGAAATGTGTACCATAAATAGCGGAACCAATGAATGCAGGGTGAGTTCTTTGGTATTAGGAGAGTTAAGAAAAAAGTCAAAAACAGAAACAGTATACATACTTTCAGCACACAAGTAGAGCTACAATATTCTTCGTAGACAAAAAGGGACTATTATATAATGGTGAGGTAATAATAATATTTGTAAAGAACTTACTGAATAACTCAGTCTTTGGCTCAGATAGGCCTTTTGTTATGGCTGCAACAATGTTGGCAACACTATCATCAGCAGTGATCTTGATCGCTGGCCTCTTCTGGTTATTGTATTGTCTTTTACCTAGGCGCTCCTTGACATGTCTTTTACGCTTACGGTTTTCATGTTTCAAAACCTCTTTCTCCAAGTCAACACCCTCATCGAAAATGTCATCTCTGGAATTGTCCACCTCATCAGGATCAATATCCACATCTGGTCGCTCGTCCTCTTTAGCTTTGGTAAAATCATAGCTTTCAACATCTCGAGTGGCTGCAAGAACTCCGGAATTATCCACACCAAACATTTTCACCTCTTGGGATAACACCTGTTCAGTGATGACAGAACCCCATACATTATTTCTTCTTCTTTGACCATAGGCTCTAGCTGTGTTCGTCCCTGACTTGTCTGCCAGCAGTGGGTTAATGAAGGGCACATCTGAAGGATTTCCTCCATTTACTTGACAACGGCTCTGTGGGCTACGAGCTTTCTTCCATGTGGATGGATAGTCATCATCACTACCATCATCGCTTTCATCAGAGTTAATAATTATCTGTGGAATTCTTGAGTGATACCCAGAGTTCTGGGCGCTGACATTTTTATTACGGACAAAAGGCGCTGACGGTAGACTGGTGAATTCAGTCTGAAATATCAAAAAGAGATTAAAATGGTTTGAAACTTCAGCCACATCAGATAATAATAATTATTATTTTAAAAATTCAGGTTTTGAATGCAAGTACCAATATATCCAGGAACTACTGTGGCTGATAATGATGAGTCTCCAGAAATGAAAGAGGTTTGGCAAAAATAATCTTGAGGAATAATGCAGAAAAAGACCTTTGCACACACATACATAAAAGTTATTTAAAAAAAACAAAAACACACACTAGGTAGTTATAACTGTAATACAAAGTTTATGTGCGAGAAATATTCAGCAAACATACCTATAATTTCACTATGTGATAATTATTTCTTGTTAAAGTGGATCTTTTGTAGACAAAGCCTTGGCAAACTGAGGCACTCTTCCAAATACAGGTCCAAAATTATTTACTATTAAAAACATCCCATTCAGGGCCTCAAAAGGTCTTAGAGTTAAAAAATATGGAATAGGAACACAACGAACTATGCTTTGCGTTATTATATAATTTCATGGGAACCAAACTCTAAATTTGTTAGCCCTTAAAAATGTGGTTGGAACATTGTGTTGTGGTTTACAGCTAGGCTGCAATATCTGCACCTTTTACTCCAACACATCAGAAAAGTCTTAAGTAGTCGCCTTTTACAACATGCTTTTTAGGTGGCAGTGGATCTATTCGGCGAGTCATGGGTAATGTGAACCTTATGAAACGCTACTCCATGAAAACACAACATAAATCCAAAGTGAACAACAAAGAAACTTATTTAATAATTTTACTCCATGAAACCACAGTACTAAATCACACAAAACGGGTATGAGTGAATACCGTAGATTATTTTGAACAAGTAAATAAAATATTGAGAAGTGACTGGTTAAGAAAAAGAGAGGAACACTGTGGTGAAATGCGCTCATCATCAATAAAATTGAAAAATAAAAACTCGCAAAGACTGACAAGGGGGCTATCTTCCGAATAACGGTCCCCAATTATCGAGGCTGAAAATATACCCTAACAGGGCCTTAGTCACATGTAACTTGCAGACTTCCGGCGGATTAAATTGTGCACTTCCGGCGACTACCACCACTGCCGAGAGTATCTCCCACGCCGCTACGCACGGCGTGGATTGGGGCTAAACTAGATGGCTGGGACTCACGAGCAGCAGCTACCTCATCTCCTGCAGCTTCCTTCATTTTATTTGCTTGTGAGTCCCAGCCATTTAGTTCAGCCTCACACAAAAAGGGATTATGTTAAATCATTAAGAAGAGTGCTCATTTTCACTTGGTTATCAAACAATATGGAGTCTCCGTAGCAAAGTGGTCAAGCCATTAACCGTGCGCTCGGAAGGTTGCAGTGCATTAATTTTAAAACTGCATTGTTCGACTCAAAAATGCATTTTTTAGGTTAACAGGGACATCTGAGGGCTGTTGCTGGAGCTACCGTATTCAGGCTTCGTGCTAAGCTCTCGGCATGAGGCTAGCTGTTCACGGTTATGTGGAGAAAGACCAAGCCATATGAAACCAGTAACAATGCAATGAAGTCAATCCACTCGCTATTGAACATTTAACAGTGAAATAAAGCCACTTTTGGTCAGATGTAAACACACATACAAGTGACAGTACATTTTATATCAAATACAGTATATACAAATGATTTTATTAAAATTGATAATCTAACAAGCACATAGTAGCGACTACGGTGTTCGGAAATTTGCGGTCTTTTTGGCAATTTCCGTTACCATGGAAACCGTTTCGGGATGGGTCCTAATCTCTCATGAAATTTTGCGATTGGTGTGATTTTCATCAGCTATAAATAGCTGAAAACGGCGGGAACGAACCCGATTAACAGCGCATGTCTACGACAGCCGGACGTCCTCTGTTTTTCTGTTACATCAGTTTGATTGAACATAGCGGTAAGTATTCAAGGTTGGCTTTAGGCCTTAAACATTAATTGAATTCTCCATCCAATTTAACATTTGTATATAAAATTTCTTTCCTATGTATGGCTAATTCGATTTACAGTGACATTTTTCAGGCAATCGCTATTATGTGGCTGTGTCTGAGAAAAAATTGTCTGCCATCTTGTCCAATGTAAAGAAAGCCAAAACAGAAGTGTGCAGTTTGGTTGCGCAGAGAAAACTTCTACTTCTTGTTTCTGGGACGCAAGTTTTCTACATCTCATCTCCACAAAAACCTACATATCTCAGCTCAGAAATGACATACAAGCCTAAATGAGGTACCGTTGGAAAGAGATTGTTTACAGCTATCTAACTGTGCTGGTTTTATTGGCGTAGAGGACATTTTAAAAATTTGACTAAAGTATCTACACATAGTTAGATACTTTGGTCAAATTTTCAAAATGCCCTCTACACCAATAAAACCAGATAAGAAAGAAATTTTATACACAAATGTAAAATTGGACGGAGAATTCAATTATAACTAGCATTACCATGTCTGGTAATGTTTAAGGCCTTAAAGCCAACCGTGAATACTTAGCGCTATTTTCAATCAAACCAATGTAACAGAAAAACAGAGGACGTCCGGCTGTCATAGACATGCACTGTTAATCGGGTTCGTTCCCGCCGTTTTCGGCTATTCATAGCTGGTGAAAATCACACCAATTGCAAAATTTCATGAGAGATTAGAGCCATCCCGAAACCCCAGCCGACATTTCCCAAACAAGTTTTAAACGGTTTCCATGGTAACGGAAATTTCCAAAAAGACCACAAATTGTCGAAACTGTAGTCGCTACTTTAACATTACTCGTACTGGTAATGCTGGTTATAATTGAATTCTCTGTCCAATTTTACATTTGTATATAAAATTTCTTTCGTATCAGTGGCTTTTTAGATTTACAGTGACTTTTTCCGGCAATCGCTATTATCATGCTGTGAAAATAGCGGTAAGTATGAATTCAAGGTTGGCTTTAGGCTTTAACATTACTCGTACTGTTAATGCTAGTTATAATTGAATACTCCGTCCAATTTTACATTTGTATATAAAATTTATTTCTTATCATTGGCTTTTTAGATTTACAGTGACATTTTTCAGGCAATCGCTATTATTATGTGGCTGTGTCTCATTGTCTGCCATCTTGTCCAATGCAAACAAAGCCAAAACGATAAGTGCGCAGTTTGGTTGCGCAGAGAAAACTTCTTGTTTCACAGACGCAAGTTTTCAACAGCTGTTTTTTACATCTCATCTCCACAAAAACCTACTACATATCTCAGCTCAGAAATGACATACAAGCCTAAATGAGGTACAATTGGAAAGAGATTGTTTACAGCTATCTAACTGTGCTGGTTTTATTGGTGTAGAGGGAATTTTAAAAATTTGACTGAAGTAGCTAGAAAAAGAAAAGTATTTTTTTTAAAAAGCCAGCTTCTTCAAAATGATACATTTGATTATGTTAAACAAACGCGTAAGTTTTAATTAAATTATGTAGTGAAATACTATCGCTCAATTTATAAGAAGATAAACTTCATGAAGACTTAGATAGAAATAAAAGAGCAAAGAACTTTAGCGGCTTGCAGGACTCGTCCGATCCGATTTCGGTTTCGTTCAGACGACGTCGCTGCCTCGGTTGTGCGCTTTACAGTAGAAAACATTATATCATTGCAACTGTGTCTAAATTAACAGCTAAAGTTGTAGCCTGCATATCTGTTTGAATACGAACTTGTTCTCCATCAGAATTACTGCATTCGCCTTCTTCTAAGTCTACGTCCCTGTCGTCCATATGTGCAGCCATCTTGGTTGTTTGTGAACCTCTTTCGTCTGTAAAATAAAAAAATGTGCGTAGGTTTAAAACTCTAATCACTGGTTCTGTGCACTTCGTACAATTAACTTTCGTCGTCTTCAACTCGTGCACATAATTCAAACACCAGGTTTGGTCTGGGTACTAAGAAAAGTCTGTTGAAATGTACGAGAGGTACATACATGATTGCGTTGGTATCACCGAAGAGTCTAGATATGAACTAGACCAATTCACAAATTGCATCAGCACCTTCAATTCCGTTATTCAATTCATGCTGTATTTTGCAGACACCAACAAATCATCAAGCAGACATAGGTGTCAGAACCTGAGGGCTCAGCTCCCCTGAGGGCCCCCCCCCCAAAAAAAAAAACTGGTAAGGAAGGCGTGGCTGGGAGAGGGAAGGGGCTGAGTCACCTTGTCCAAAGTTTTCCTAATGGAAAGGGGGGGGGGGGGGAGGAAAAGGTGGGTCACACCCTCATGTTTTCTTAATTCGTGTCGGATGTAAAACTAGAGACAGGACATGCTAATTTACTTATTTAGATAGTAATTTTGATAGCAAAGGAAAAAAACAAAAGAAAGAAATTATGACAAGCATTGGCATCTTTTAAGAACTTGAGCAAAATATGGAGCTCCAAATTGTATAGTATTAAAACCAAGGTTTACATTTTCAATTTAATGTTATTTTCCTTGAAACGTGTGCAAGTGAAAGTTGGAGAACATCTAAAGACATCGAACGAAAGTTTAATGTATTATAAAAACAAATGTCTGGGAAAAATTATAAAATCAAAGTGAGATGAATTCAAAAAGAGTGAAGAAATAAGAGACATGTCTGGGCATCCACTAGTCATCATCATAATCATCATCATCATCATAATCATCATCATCATCGTCATCATCCCGTAACACTACAGATTTTGTTGACTGTCTGATCAGCTCTCTCCACTTTTGGCAGTCAGTTGCGATTGACTTCATGGTTGCATGCCTGAGACCTGTCCAGCCAGTCAGGTTCTGTAACCATGTCTTTCTTGGTCTGCCTCTTCTCCTCTTTCCCTCTACTGAGCCCTGCAGTATTGTTTTTCAGAAACGTTGAATCTCATTACATGTCCATACCATTGCATTTTTTGCCCTTTTACTGAAGTTAAAAAGGTTCATAGTTGCCAATGTGCTGTATAATTTTATGGCGAACCTCTCTGTATTTTTAATATGGTCTCTGAATGATATGCACATATTTTTTTTTTTTTTTGGGAAACATCGTATTTCTAATGCTTGTATCTTTTTTTTTCAAGTTCAGTTGTTTAAAGTCCACGTTTCAAAGCCATCTGTGAATGTACCAATAGCTATTGATGTGAGCAATCTACTCTTAGTTTTGCATTATATGTTTTTGGATCTCCATAATGTTTGCTGCTTGGCAAGGACATGTTGTCTGGGCAATCCTAGACATGATTACACACTCGTTTCCTTGAACACCGGCATAGCCTGGCACAAAGATGAAGATTATGGCAGCTATTCGTGAAGTGCTTAGTGTTGCAATCCATTCTTGTGTGATAAATCCAGCTTGGAATTTTTAAAGCTGCGAGCCCTATGTGACGCATAATGGCATCATCAATCAGCACATCCTTTACAGAACGTCCCTCTCTTCACGGCACGCCTGAAAGTATTCCTTTCTCTAGCCAGCTCTCTAGCCCATGTGCTTTCAATGCCAATGCATCTTCAATGTCTTGTATCCATCTTCGCGGGGGTCGGCCCCTGCCTCGCCTTCCACAAACTGCACCTTCTATCACCGTCTTTTCATCACTGTGTCGTTTGCATATCTGAATTCTGGGATAGGATTACCTCGAATTTTAATTTTTAATGGTATAGCAGGAAAACAAAATGAATGAACACATAAAGATGATCCCAGAGATCACCTTTATCGTCAATTCTCTTCAGCATATTCACTGAAGTGACAAATATCAACAATGATTTGGCTATGTCATATTTCCGAAACACCCTGAAGCAAAGGCAGAAGCCAAGTCCTTTAGGCATATTTGTATTAAAAGACAAACTTGAAAAGCCTCAACCAGGTCCAAGTAGCGAAAAGAGACAGATATCTCCTCCTCCTACCTTCTTATGTTTATTACGTTTATGTTTATCTGACAGATCAACGTCATGGCACACGGGTGTAACCCATAAGTGCCCTGTTCTAATACTTACTCAAGCCTGAGTCTGAAGAATCTCAGCGCAGTCCACGAACTTCGTTGCACCAGCGAGGATCTTGAAATACTTTAGGTAGATTTTTAACTCCAATTTTTTGCCTGGGCAGCGCCGTTAGTCTACTTTTTCGATTTCCAACTGCCAAAGGATTTTTTTTTTTAGCGTGCGCAAGAATACACTTGCCAGGACCTAGGCACCAGGTTAGTGGATGAGGGGATTAAATCTAGAGCGGTCAGACATGACAATTTTTCTAAGGATAACAGACATTTCATTGTATTCAACATATAACCGGCGAGATAAGTCGTTTTACTCTTATTTTGGAGGAGATCAGCTAGTCAATAGATCTGTCAGGAATGCTTGGATAATAGTTCACCCTCACTGAATCCCTAATGGTGCAGGTATCTGTGGCGAAGTGGTCAAGCCGTTTGCCCCGCTCTCTAAAAGTCGTGGTTTCGTTTCAGGGCGGCGCCGTCAGTTCCCGAGTGAAATCTATACCGAGATCTCTAGGGATCGTCGCCGGAGCTAGAAGGTCGTGCTTTGCGCCACGCTCTCAGCGGGCAGATAACTGTTCTGTGGAGAGAGAAATGGGATAATTTACATGGGATAAAGCCACGTACATTGTAGTCGATCCCTCTCACGTTTACCTTTATTTTTAATCTTAAATCATAACACAGTCAAAAATATGTTGTAAATAAGATGTATTGGGACATGGCTGTGTACGTAATAATGTTGTAAGGAGGCTTAGTTGCGTATCCTTTACAGAATATTGCAGAACCGACCCTAGCATTTTTTTTCTACTGTCTGCGATTTCACGAGGCAGTTTTACATCCAGTAGTTTGCCATTGCATCTAAACAGTCCCAAATCGTATGCAGCTTAAAAATGCAGCTTTCGCCCCAGAGGCTAAGACCAATTTTTTTACCGTATAAGGACATTCTCTTTAAAAGTGTTTGTTAATACGTTTCATATTTTTTCGAATCTATAATTATATCATTATTCACAGCATTTATATTATTGTTACTATTATGGTGTTAAACTAGGATTAGGCTTTTTGAGTCTCCTTTTCTTTTGTAGAAAATATAAACAGCGGTAAGGGCGCGGGTTCGCGCAACCCCCCCCCCCCCCCGCTCACCTCTCCCACCCACCGATAGTTTATCGGTATCGGCGCGAGTGAGTAATAGCAACATGGGGAAGGAAAACATTAAAGTTACTTTTCTAGCATAGATCATAAGCAGGACATAAGCAGGATTATGCACTTGAGCTCTCCTCCTGTTCCCCTATTTGGAAGTAACTATAGGTTTCGTTTTTTATATTATCTAGCGCGTCCTTCTATCTTTCAACTTCTTTCTGTTAGTACCGATCAAAACATGCCCACATGTTTATTATATATAATGTTATAAGCCCCCATGGTGTCCCCATCTGTTTATGTCAGCATTTTTCAGGTTCCCCCATAGTTTACCATCCAGTGTAGCTCTTGTGAGTCACATTTCTCCTCTCTGAATAGATCAGTTTGAGCAGTCATACAAGTCATACCATGTAGTTGACTTTGAAAGACCAAAAACTGCATCCAAACACTGCGTTCGGCGTTTTATTTTTTTGGTTTTTGAACAACGGATCAACATCATAGCACACGGGTAGTAACCCATAAGTGCTCCGTTCTTCTTCTTACTCAAGCCTGAGTCCGAAGAAGCTCAGCACAGAGCTACTGTAGCACCTGCGAGGATCCTGAAATACCTTGGGTAGATTTTTAACTCCAAATTTTGACCGGGCAGCGCCGTTAGGCAACTCTTTTCGATCTCCAACTGCCGAATGGTTTTTTTTACATGCGCAACAATGCACAAGGGCGTCTGATTTCACTACTCAGAGAAATTACTAAAAGTCCAAGCCCTGGTGAAAAAATCCCTGCCCTTACTGGGGAGAGGCGTTTGGCGTTTCCCAGTTAAACAAACACATCTCCAATTGTTATTTGTGCAAGATGACCAAAGCAAACAAAATAGCAAGACGTAACATCATTGTTTATTGTTGACATTTCAGTTTAGAATGTGCGATCGTATAGGCTCCAAATCATTGGCAAAGACACATATAACAAATATATACATATTTAATTTGGCTTTGTAAAGTATTAAAATGACACATTTTCCACTGGTAACCCAGAAGAACTGAAAGGATATTATTGATAACATTACTACTTAATGTGCGCAAGACCTATGACAATAAAGAACAAATGTATAGCTAAATGGAAGTGTGTGTGTATGTATCTGTGTATGTGTGTCCTACACTTCCAACATTAATATCGATGGAAAATTAACAAGTTCATAGGGTTTCAATGTCATTTCCTCCAGATAATTACAGAAGATGCTGAAACTGTTCTTCGTGTGTGTTCTGGGGTCCCATTGGGGGAGGGGGCGGGGTAGGGGGATGGACAAGAACAGACCCACTGACTACCCAAAATCATTTCCTAAGAGTCGACTAACTGGGAGCTTGCTTCGAAGTCGGAGTGCAAGGAACCAACAATCAGTGTCAGATCTGTAAAACAGATGTGCACGCAACACTTAGGACTGGAACCTGACTTAATTTCAGAAGTGTACGAACAACCAGAACTTTCCTGTGGAGTTTACAGCTGGTGAACACAAAGAAAAAGAAGAAGAAGCGGAAACTGTGATAAGACCAGTAATTGCAGAGAAGATAAAAGTTCTTCAAAAGTGATAAAAGTTAACATTAAAAAACAACGTGAAGCAAAACGAGCCAAGGAAAGTAACAGATAGATAACTAATACACACACGATGTGCAATTTGATGTTGAA